AGTTAATATATACATTTACTGACTGCGTCTGATATTCACTGTCAGTATAAAAATCTATAGCGTACTTAACGTATAGATTTTCAGTACTGGCAGTGAATATTAAAATGCAGCCCTTATAATAAATCTTACATTGATTATATATATGTATACATTTACAAAAGTTTACACTTTGTGACGGCATAATAATACTTATATGTTAGACCTGTGGATTCATTTGGAATCGCTGCCATAGGTTACGGCTCGGATGCATCATTTTGTCCTTAATTTGTAACACCATAAAAGATAAAACAATCATGATGCATCCGAGCAATGTTTCCAAACGCCTGTATAAGAATAAATAGAAATAATATTTATATTTTGTTTTAAAGTAGGATGGAAAAGAAATCTAGCCAGTGGAATAAAGAGAATATGGAAGAGGCGATTGAGTCTTATAAACAAAAGACTTATGGATTTAATGAATGCTGCAGAATATTCGGAATTCCGAAACCGACATTTCGAAGACACCTTAACAATATGATTATAAGGCCTTTATCATCTGCAAAGAAAACTGGTGCTTTACCAACATTCTCGAATAATGTTGAAAATGAACTTGTTCGATATTTATTATATTTAGAAGAAGTATTTTTTGGACTTAACATTACAGATGTGCGTCGATTAGCTTTTCAAATTGCGGAGCGAAATTGTATTCCACACAAGTTTAACCGTAATACAAAGATGGCAGGTAAAAAATGGTTTTATTCTTTTATGAAGAGGCATCCAGGCCTATCTGTACGTCTACCTGAAAACACTTCTATAGCACGAGTTAAAGGATTCAATAAAAAAGAGTCTAATGAAATGATAAAAAACACTTCTATAGCACGAGTTAAAGGATTCAATATAAAAGAGTCTAATGAAATGATAAAAAATAGTTCTTTACAAGTTCCTATAATAGAAATATCACCATTACCAACACCAAGTACGTCTACTAAGAAACGAAGGAAAGCAGCTCAAGGAGCTGTAGAGCTTACAAGTAATCCCTATAAAAACGAAATAACAGCTTTGAAAGAAAAAAAATTTAGAAAGACTGGCAAAATACAAAAAGCAATAAAAGACAATTCTCAAGAATCAAGTTACACTGTAGAAGATGACGACGTCATTGTTTCTGTTCAAGAAGAAGAATGGTTTTGCTTTATCTGCATGGAAGTACACATTGAAGATATGATCCAATGCATTAAATGCAAATTATGGGTTCACGAAGATTGTGCAGGAATATTAAAGAAACAAAAAATTTATTTCTGTCCCAAATGTAAATCCTAACTTAGCTATTAATGGTTACATTTTTGTATCTTATGATATGTTGTCTCTTTCACTTGTTTTGTCATGTAACTATATTTTCACTTATTTTAATACGTTGTCGCTTATATTATATTAATATTATGTTAAATTCTTAGAAGACTGCGACTGAATCATTAACATGTGTAGTTTATAATTTCTTATTTCTGTTCATGAATGAAATTTGATTGAATGAAATTAAATTTTATATTTGTTGCTTTTTTAGCATTTTATTATTAATTTTATTATTAATTTTATATTGCAACAAATTTTACGTGAAATGATAATAATAAATGTATAAAAATATCTAATAAACTATAAAAATATAAATTTAAAAAGTTTTATTTTGTCGAACTTATCGTTTCATTGTTATTATTTATTTAATATTACCTAAATATTTAATCCTTTTCTCGATAAATTATTCATAAAGTACATAGTAATAAATTATTCCTTTTATTAATCTTATATTCTTAATTATTTTAATTCATGACATCAATTTCAAAGACGGTACGATTTGGGATACTTACAGGTACGATTTAGGCGACCGGTTGCCTAAATCGGACCTTTTGCAGCATGTTGCAAAAAGACTTCCAGTGAATTATTTTGATATTGATAGAAGATTAAACGTATAATAATAGATACTTGAAATATCAAAGTACAATTTCTAACCTTCATTTGCACACAAATCAGTTCTAAATGAGAAATATAATAAAAAATATGTTAAGTGGTACGCATTCAGCAACTTTCCCCTATATACACAGCATGGAGCACCGCGCGGTGCGCTTACTGAGCAGACGTTACGATCTGACGAATACAGGCTGCAAGTATTTAGAAATTGAAATCAATGTTGGTCCACCGAGTTACGTGGAGATCGCCCTGGGAGATCATCGCGGACACGAACTGTCGCTGTCTCTCGAAACGTGGAAGGGTCTCTGCAAGCAGCGACGGAATATTCGCAAGATGCTGCGAAACGAATATAAGGACAATTTTATAAGCGTTGGACCACTAATCGTCAATGTTTGCACGCTACAGAACAATGTTACGCTCGAACATCTCGATTCTTCATCCGTACTCATGATGATGACCGAAACGATGCTACACCGTATGTTCGAGTTTGACGGATGTATCGATGTAACGTTCGAACGATTAGTCCGACTCGTCGATACAGTCGATGCCAAATATACGCGATTTTCCAATATCGCGTCCAAGAACGCTATACGCGATAGCGACATCTTCAATGGACATCAGCTCGTCGATTGCGAGCTATTAGCTTTTAAATACGTATGAAAAATCGGTGTAATAAGATGTGAATAAAAATAAATTCGTTCGCATCACTATATATATGTACTTCCTTTTATTACCGATCCATCATATTTACTACCAATCCTTTGCGCTAGTAAAAAGAATAAGAAAAAACGCAACGTATTGTGAAAATTGAGTCATAAACAGACAATGGAAAAAAAGGGTGCCGTACTTGCATTCTATCGTCGCATACTTTCTTTCCTAACAGGCACCCTTGTTATTTATGCATTTTTTTGTAGTGTCTACCATAAAATTCTATAGACTGCAAACATTTATTTATTTACGATCTTAACTGTTTCATTTTCCATAAGTGTTTCTTGTGCAGCGCAAAAGTAAAACGTACTCTAGGCAGGGGATTGCTATGGCAAAGGACGCTTCTCGACGTCAGTCTCTGCCGAATCTCGTCCGCGTGTGCTACACGAGCATAACGAGCAATTTTGAGCTATCGATTGAGCATATGTAGATTCGTTATTGACGTCTCGATCCTTGGCAACTCGCGGAAAAAGTAGCCACAGTAGTGTCGTTGCGTGTGGCTTAGCACCGAGTCTTGCTGCGTGTTACAAAGAGTATATCACGAGTGACTTTTTCAAATTTATAAAAGTGTAAAAAATATTTAGCGGCTTACGCGATAATTTGTGTGTGTGACTGAGAAAACAATGAAAGACATGGAAGACAACCTCCATCTAAAAAAATCAAATTAATTGAGGCGGAGGAGGACATCTCCGTCGAAGAGGATGTCCACATGGAGGAGGAGGGGGAGGAGGAAGAGGATGATTGGGAGGAGGGGGAGGGGAGGAGGGGGGAGAGGGGGAGGAGGAGGAGGTAAGTCTTATTTTACATAATTCATTATAATTTTTTTGGACGCCCCCTCGCCTACGAGTACTCCCCGCGCTCCCCTCGCTAACAAGTATCCCCCGTGCTCCGCTTTCCCTTGCCTTCAAGTATCCCCCGCGCTCCGCTTTCCTTCGCCTACGAGTATCCCCCGCGCCCCGCGCTCCCCTCAGAGGATCTGAGTTAGATCCGACCTACTATACCTACTAATATCCGTCTTCAATGTTCGTCATTTTGTAATACACTTTATGTAATTTAAATTTTATTTGCATGGTTGTCAAGGGAAATGTTTAAAATTTAATTTGAGCTTTGGTTCATCTCGATATGATGATTATTTATTGAAATATCGCTACTCAATAGAATATATTAATATATATTAAAATATATAAAAATTTGTGTTAAAATTTAATGGTCCGTTTTTTACGGGTGAGTGTATATTATAAATAAAAATTTTTTTATATTATTTCTTTGAATATTATTGGATTATATTTTTTTCTGACATTTACAGCATATTTTTCCCAGCACGGTAAATATTACGAAAGGAGATTTCTATGATATGCTGAAACCTTGGTTGGGCAACGGACTTTTGACATCTACAGGTAAACACACAATAAACCACATATTTATTTTTCTCACATATTTTTTTATTACACATTTATTTTTCTTTTACATTTACAATTTTATTAAAAATAATTAGCAGCTTATTTCAGGGCTGGGCATGTATTTGGAATACTTTTATTTAAAAAAAAGTATTTGTAAAACAATTGTATTTTATATTTTGTATTTTAACGGAGCGCATGAAAATATTTTGTATTTTGTATTATACGGTACATATAAAAATATTTTATATTTTGTATTTCAAATACTAAGATTGACATTCAATCTTATTTCAAGGTCATGACCCTGAGTAACCTCCAACAAGTTTTAGCCGGCTAAAACTTGTTGGACGGCCGTCGCTCATTATCCATTAAAAAGTTATTAACAAAAAAAATTGGAAAAAATAGTGTCTTATTTCTGCTATATATAATATTAGAGACTATTCTATACCGTTTCTTGCTTACATAATGACTTTTTACACCAAGCGACTTTTATACCACCACCTCCCTTACTTAGAGGCACACGACTTTCTATGCGAAGTGAGTTCTATTCCATCTCGCCAAGCTGCTTCGCGTAGAAGTCGTGCGCCCTTGAAGCACAGGAGGAGATGGAGTGGGAGTCGCTTCGCGTGGAAGTCGTCCACCTCTCAGCCAGGGGAGATACGGTAAGAGTCGCTTCGCATGGATAGTTATAAAGTATATTTTAAAGCAGAAAATTTTTGTTCTATATAGAGAAAATAAATTATTTTTCGAACTTTTTTTCTTAATAACTTTTTAACAAGAGAGTAACGAGCGATGGCTAAAACGTATTGGAGGTTACTCAGGGTCATGACCTAGACAACATATGCCAAGATCAAGGTCATCACAGAGGTCTCCCCTAAAGTGAACATTTATCAAAAAAATTTTTAATTTTTCAATTTTAAATACAAAATACGTAATACTTCCATGTGCTCCGTTGAAATACAAAAAACAAAATACACTTGTATTGCAAATAATATTTTAAATAAAAATATTTCAAATGCATGTCCAGCCTTGGCTCATTTTTATCATGTACGCTATTTTAATGTATAAGCATTCATGTAAATATTTAGATAAGATAAAAAAGGAGTTCTTTGTGTTTTCGTTTAATATAAATGTATGTGCATTTGTGCTTCAATACAGGAAAAAATATATTTTAGTCGTTATAGTAAATATACATTCTTTCTAAAACTTTTAGAATGAAAACTCATTCTAAAGAGCGAAATCTCACTCTTAAAGATTGAAAATTGAGGCACTCTTTTTTAAGACAGGTTCAATTTTCACTTCAAAGAATTTAGAGAGTTTGACTGCATAGTTAATCTGATTATTTATGTTGTTCACGTATTAGAAAATTGTACAGTGTTTCGCACACTTTTTATCTTGTTTACATCGCTAATATCCAGTATCAACATGTAAGAAAAACAGAATATCAAAAATAGAAGCAATAACAAAAGCATCTATTTTTTTTTAATTGACAAGGAAACACTCCCAAGTGTAAATCTCAGAATGAAAGCAAACCTATATAAATCTGTTATTTGAATAACAGATATACAATGAATGGTAACTAATAAGTGCAAAATTCATCATTTATATAAGCTCTATCGACATAAACTATTACATTTTCGATATAGGCAAAAACGTACACATATCAAATATATTTAAATTTTTACGTATGATTGGCCATTCTATTTTGTTAATTCTTGCTTTTTAGCAAAATATAGTTTTTTGGTCGTTGAAATTATTTCGAAATTTATAAATTACACAATAGAAATAATGGAATTTACGTGGAAGTATTTCCTTGTGAATTAAAAAGTATTCTTGTGTAAAAGTTTTCTTCACCTTTTGTGATATTTTTACAATTTCATTTTTACACAAAAAAAGTGACTCCATTTTCAATCTTTAAGAGTGAGATTTCGCTCTTTAGAGTGAGCTTTCATTCTAAAAGTTTTAGAAAGAATATATATTTACTACAACTAAAATATTTACTATGACTAAAATATATTTTTTCCTTTATTGAAGCACGAATGCACATACGTTTACATTAGACGAAAAAACAGAGAACTCCTTTTTTATCTTATCAAATATTCTTTCCCGTACTGAAGCACAAATGCACATACATTTACATTAGACGAAAAAAACAGAGAACTCCTTTTTATCTTATCTAATCTGTATATCACATTTTAATGCTGCTTTAGGTGAACAATGGTTCCACGATAGAAAACTCATCGGGCCGACGTTCCATTTTAGTATATTAGATCAATTTGCTGTGGTTGTGTCTGAAAAAGCAGAGATTCTGACAAAGTGTCTCCAAAAAGAGATAGAAAAAGATCCAGAAAAAACCGTTAATATTTTCCCTTTTATTATCAATGCTGCTCTCGATATTATCTGCGGTAATGTGCCATGTTTTTAATTATAATGTATATAAGTATAATATTTTGTGAGAAAACACGTTTTGTTTATTGATAGTCATTTTATGCTGCAAATTTTATCAATCATTTTATGGATAATAAAAAAATATATAAATGTGTGTGTGTGTGTGTGTGTGTGTGTGTGTGTGCGCGCGCGCGCGCGCGCGCGCGTGTGTGTGTGTGTGTGTGTGTGTGGTAAAAGATGCTAAAAAGTTTGCGGGTTATCGCCGTGATTTATTAGAGTGAGAAGCGCACTGATACTGTATCTAGTATCAGTATCAGTATCAGTACGCTCCTCGCCCTGATAAAGTAAACGGCAAGGTTCACGAAACGTTAGCATTAGCAACGGACAAAAACACGGCGATAACTCGCAAACTTTCTAGCATCTTTAAAAATAATGAAAGCCTAAAAAGCGTTATATAAACGGTAATTTTAATTGTGTTATTATAAGCAATCTGACAAAAGGATTTATCAATAATATAAATTATTATCTTACAGAAACAGCAATGGGTGTGGATATACATGCTCAAGAAGTCAAAACCAAATATACATCAACAGTACACCTGTCAGTTCTCAAAATTCTTGTACTGCTATTATACTATCTAACATCATTTTCCAACACAAGTGTGAATAATTCCATATTTTTTCCATATTTTTGCTTACTGAACATGAAAAAAATCTGTTAACCAAAATTACGTCACAATTTCAAGAATAATGACATTAAAATAACAAATTTAAGGGTTTTTATAAAATTATACATAATAAATGTTTTAATTATTAAAAAAATTTTTAATTAAACTTTTGTTAATACCATGCAAAAAGATCGATTTTCAAAACTTGTTTTGTATTTTGTTTGTTTCGATATGTTTTTGTTTTCATGATATAATAATTTAGTAATAGCTTTTTTCTCATATATTACATAAAAAAGACATTTTGAATACATAAAAAATTATATTAAAACAACATGCATTTTTAATTTAGAAATTTTAATAGTACTTTCATTTATTATTAAGGCGATGCTAAAGCCTCCTGTTTTACCACATTTCCATTCGGTGAAAAATCTCCATATTGGATGTACGGGAATTGCAAAAGTATTATTACTTAAATTAAAGTACGCACAAACAGGACCTCAGCTGCACTGGATTTCATGAGAAAATCGAAAAAAAATTTTTAATTTGTTAAAAATTCACTTACTTTTGGCTCGTACAGCTGTCACTTCAGATATATATTTGCTTGATATAAGAGTTTTAGAATCCATATCTTGAAAATAAACGTGCAGCTGAGGTCACATTATTGAAACGAACGATACCGAGTTTGTAGAACTAAGATTGAAAGTCTAGAAAAGAAATATTTCCACCGAATAGAAAGTACGCGTATACAGGTGCTTTGTGAAGACTGGGACTGTTCATGGTATAAGGATAAGGGTATGCTCACGCGCATGCGACCAATCAAAATTGTCGAAGTGTGACGTCAC